TTCGGATTATCCGGAATTCGGATTATCCGGAATTCGGATTATCCGGAATTCGGATTATCCGGAATTCGGATTATCCGGAATTCGGATTATCCGGAATTCGGATTATCCGGAATTCGGATTATCCGGAATTCGATTATCCGGAATTCGGATTATCCGGAATTCGGATTATCCGGAATTCGGATTATCCGGAATTCGGATTATCCGGAATTCGGATTATCCGGAATTCGGATTATCCGGAATTCGGATTATCCGGAATTCGGATTATCCGGAATTCGGATTATCCGGAATTCGGATTATCCGGAATTCGGATTATCCGGAATTCGGATTATCCGGAATTCGGATTATCCGGAATTCGGATTATCCGGAATTCGGATTATCCGGAATTCGGATTATCCGGAATTCCGATTATCCGGAATTCGGATTATCCGGAATTCGGATTATCCGGAATTCGGATTATCCGGAATTCGGATTATCCGGAATTCGGATTATCCGGAATTCGGATTATCCGGAATTCGGATTATCCGGAATTCGGATTATCCGGAATTCGATTATCCGGAATTCGGATTATCCGGAATTCGGATTATCCGGAATTCGATTATCCGGAATTCGGATTATCCGGAATTCGGATTATCCGGAATTCGGATTATCCGGAATTCGGATCATCCGGAATTCCGATTATCCGGAATTCGGATTATCCGGAATTCGGATTATCCGGAATTCGGATTATCCGGAATTCGGATCATCCGGAATTCGGATTATCCGGAATTCGGATTATCCGGAATTCGGATTATCCGGAATTCGGATTATCCGGAATTCGGATTATCCGGAATTCGGATTATCCGGAATTCGGATTATCCGGAATTCGGATTATCCGGAATTCGGATTATCCGGAATTCGGATTATCCGGAATTCGGATTATCCGGAATTTCGATTATCCGGAATTCCGATTATCCGGAATTCGGATTATCCGGAATTCGGAAAATCCGGACTTCGGATTATCCGGACTTCCGATTATCCGGAATTCGGATTATCCGGAATTCCGATTATCCGGAATTCGAATTATCCGGAATTCGGATTATCCGGAATTCGGATTATCCGGAATTCCGATTACCCGGAATTCGGATTATCCGGAATTCGGATTATCCGGAATTCGGATTATCCGGACTTCCGATTATCCGGAATTCGGACTATCCGGAATTCGGATTATCCGGAATTCGGCTTATCCGGAGTTCGGATTATCCGGAATTCGGATTGTCCGGAATTCGGATTATCCGGAATTCCGATTATCCGGAATTCGGATTATCCGGAATTCGGATTATCCGGAATTCGGATTATCCGGAATTCGGATTATCCGGAATTCGGATTATCCGGAATTCGGATTATCCGGAATTCGGATTATCCGGAATTCGGATTATCCGGAATTCGGATTATCCGGAATTCCGATTATCCGGAATTCCGATTATCCGGAATTCGGATTATCCGGAATTCGGATTATCCGGACTTCCGATTATCCGGAATTCGGATTATCCGGAATTCGGATTATCCGGAATTCGGATTATCCGGAATTCGGATTATCCGGAATTCGGATTATCCGGAATTCCGATTATCCGGAATTCCGATTATCCGGAATTCGGATTATCCGGAATTCGGATTATCCGGAATTCGGATTATCCGGAATTCGGATTATCCGGACTTCCGATTATCCGGACTTCGGATTATCCGGAATTCGGATTATCCGGAATTCGGATTATCCGGAATTCGGATTATCCGGAATTCGGATTATCCGGAATTCGGATTATCCGGAATTCGGATTATCCGGAATTCGGATTATCCGGAATTCGGATTATCCGGAATTCCGATTATCCGGACTTCCGATTATCCGGACTTCCGATTATCCGGAATTCGGATTATCCGGAATTCGGATTATCCGGAATTCGGATTATCCGGAATTCGGATTATCCGGAATTCGGATTATCCGGAATTCGAATTATCCGGAATTCGAATTATCCGGAATTCGGATTATCCGGAATTCGGATTATCCGGAATTCGGATTATCCGGAATTCGGATTATCCGGAATTCGGATTATCCGGAATTCGGATTATCTGGAATTCGGATTATCCGGAATTCGGATTATCCGGAATTCGGATTATCCGGAATTCGGATTATCCGTAATTCGGATTATCCGGAATTCGGATTATCCGGAATTCGGATTATCCGGAATTCGGATTATCCGGAATTCGGATTATCCGGACTTCGGATTATCCGGACTTCGGATTATCCGGACTTCGGGTTATCCGGACTTCGTATTATCCGGACTTCGGATTATCCGGACTTCGGATTATCCGGACTTCGGATTATCCGGACTTCGGATTATCCGGACTTCGGATTATCCGGACTTCGGATTATCCGGACTTCGGATTATTCGGACTTCGGATTATCCGGACTTCGGATTATCCGGACTTCGGATTATCCGGACTTCGGATTATCCGGACTTCGGATTATCCGGACTTCCGATTATCCGGACTACCGATTATCCGGACTACCGATTATCCGGACTTCCGATTATCCGGACTTCCGATTATCCGGAATTCCGATCATCCGGAATTCCGATTATCCGGACTTCGGATTATCCGGACTTCGGATTATCCGGACTTCGGATTATCCGGACTTCGGATTATCCGGACTTCGGATTATCGATCAAATGGACCTTTTGTCGAATAACATTTTTCCAGTTATAATTTCCCAGAATTTATCGCAGAATAGATAGTAATATATGAAGGTCCGGGGTTAAAAAGGCCAACCACCGATTTGTCAAAAATCAGTAAAGTTAAGCATTGTTTAACAACAATATTTGAAAGTAGAGGAAAAAAGATTTATAGCCAGCTTCAAGCTTGATTTGAAAACGGTAATCTTTGAAAGGGGGGGGAGATAAACGGTAATCTTTGAGAATCCATAATAAAAGTATTTTCTTCCGTTGGTAGTTTTTAAGCATTAGTTAAAAATGTAATTATTTTGTAAAATACCTTTAAAACTATAATAAGGCTTTAAATCTTTTTGCCACCTGCCTGTTTCAAGTTACCCCGCCTACAGGGTAAAAAGGTCTAGATACCAAATTTTTGAAAGACATCAAAAAGGCACATTTCTACAATGATGAAGTAGAAGGCAGTTTACTGAACTCAGATAATTGTTCGTTTGATATGTGTTATTTGCTGTGATATAATTGTTATGGTTTTCACAATATAGTTTACATTTGCTCAAAGTCAAATTGGACCTTTGTGCCTCGCCCTGCTCTACATATATACTTGATATTAAATTTACTTTTTTTCACCGAATGTGACTTGAAACTTTTCAAAAAGCAGGTAAAAAAAGAAATACTTTTTTGAATTTTAAATATTTATTTTCTATCTCTCCTCGCAAAAATTTGAAAATTTTGTAAACTCAGTAGTATTATTTACAATTATACACAAAATCCAGAATCCAAAAACAATATAAAAAACTTGAAACGTAATCAATTAGTCGAAAGACCAAAAAAGACTTGGATGGTTTATACTATTTCCTATAGAAAGTGTATAAATCTTCCAGTTTGATTGTATTGACAAAATATAGATAAACCAATGGGGTTTATTGTTTTTATAATACTTCATTGTATATAGCATTCAAACAACACATCCTTATACACTTAAAATATTAATATTTTTGATTCTCTAGAAATTGTCTAGAATATACCTTATTTAGCAAAACAACGTTTGCCGGGTCAGCTAGTATGTTATATATGTGTTTCAAGATAGAAGACAAAATTTTTTAATAATTTAGTAGATACTTTTATATGCATATTATTATATTTAATTAGATAAATTGGATAAATAATTAAACATGATACATTTTTAGAATCCTGAGATCATTTTTTGAATGAGTTCTAATTCTTTTTGCATTATTTCATACGCATTTATAAGTTGGCTTTATTTGTAAGATTTGCTTCATAGCGGGTTAGATGATAAACAATTATATAATTTATATCGATTCCTTTAATTTATATTATTAACTTCCCATAGGGTAAGTTAAAGTAATCGCAAAAAAATCGCAAATGAAAATTTTGTTATCTTTACGTTCCAGAGGTTTCTGAACATTTTGGCATACCTTAGAAAAAATGGATGTATGTGTGTGTGCGTGTGTGTGTGTTTGCGTCGAAGATTTCGGGAACACGGTTCAATCGATTTCAATTATTCAAAAAACATTCGATTGCTGTTGATAAGGAGACGTGCTGATTAGTTTTTGGCATAGGCAGGTCTAGCCGTTTCGAAGATACGGGGCAAAAAGTGCCACAAACGGTAACTCGGTTTTTAGGAGAACGGAGCGTCCTATTTTAATAATTCGAAACACATTTTACTTGTATTGACAAGATTTTCATGAAGGCAGGTCTAGCGGTTTCCTAGATCTAGTGAAAAAAGTAAAAAAAATGCCATTTGGCGGTCAAAAGTGATCATTAGACATATGCACATCAAATTATCAGATATTTTATAGAGATTTTAACAATAAGTATAAATTTAGTTTACATTCTTATGGGTTCCGTACCAATGTTTATCAGTTACACGGCGACGCGACGCGACGCTTACGCGCTTCGATATTTTGTCTCTATGCAGTCAAAGCAGTATGATTGCTTTGAAAAAAAGTTTAGAATTTCCAAAATATTTCAAAATAAAGAAAACATTTTTTTCAAAAAGTCTTTTTTTTCTAATAAAGAAAATTTTTGCCAAAAATTTATAGTTTCTCAAAAATCTAATTTTTTGAAAGTAAAATTTTTTCAAAAATGTTAATCTTTTAAAAAAAAAATAATTTTTGGTACTGGAAGCTCCAACAATTTTCCTAAGGCACGATGTCATGCGCTCCACTAGTTATTATCTTTGATTAGATAAATTACATAAATATATATAAACCTTGGATGTTTTTGAAAACCAGGAATTGAATATGTATCTAGTTGTATTTGAATGTTCATTTTCAGACTAGTACACGATCGAGAGCTTCAACTCCATGACGGAACTCGTTTACTTCGGCATGATCGATACGATGAACTATTAAACGAAAGCTCGGGCTCCGTAGAAAGCCTAACAGCAAATGGTGTCCTTCGCATTCATCCTTCATTTCGTATTGTTGCTCTGGCTGAGCCTCCGACAACCCACGGCGGAAGCGCGAGCAAAGGCGCTTGGCTTACCCCCGAAATGCTTAGTTTGTTCCTGTTTCACGAAGTCAGGGAACTGAGCGCCAATGAGGAAATGCTGATCATAAATACACTGGTGAGATTGGAAATAGACAAATTTTTACTGAAATTGATACTATATGCACTCTCATATTAGGTTGTCAAATATCTCCCTTCCGCCTTTTTGCTCTTGGTTTATAATACAAAAAGGCGGAAGGGAGATATTTGACCACCTTATATGATAATTGAGGTGATCATACTTTTAAATTTCAAATCCGGGACGTGGACGATGGGTGTTTATGCTAAATAACTTTAAATATGATATAAAAATAGTGGTGCATGGCATTGTGCCTTAAGGCAAATTGCTGGAACTTTCCGTATCAAAAACTGAATTATTAAAAAAAACTTTACAACTTTGAAAAAATTAGATTTTTGAGAAATTTTGAAAATTTTGAAAAAGTTTGACTTTGCTGAAAAATTGTATTTTTTCATATTTAGTTTTTTTGTATTTTGATTTATTTTAAAAATTTTGAACATTGCATAGCTGATTTGGAGTTGAAATATCAAAGCGCGTAAGCGCCGCGCACTCGTCTTAACGTGTAAACATTGGTACGGAACCCATATAAATGTACACAAAATTTATACTTATTATTATAATCTTTATAAAATATATGATAATATGATGTACATAAGTCTAATGTTCAGTTTTGACCGCCAAATGACATTATATTCCCTTTTTTTATTGGATCTCCGGATACGCTGGACCTGCCTTTACAAAAATTTTACCAGAAGTTCATTACAAGTAAAATGTTTTTTGAATTATTTAAACCGGACGCTCCATTATCTCAAAACCTGAAATAATATTTTCGGCACTTTGTGCCCCGTATCTCCGAAACGGCTATACCTGCCTTTGCCAAAACTAATCAGCACGTTTCCTTATCAGTAGGAATCGAATGTTTTTTGAATTATTCAAATCGGTGAATTCGTATTCGCAAAATCGTCGACGAAATTTTGTATCCGCACACACATACATCCATTTTTTCTAAGATATGCCAAAACTTTCAGAAACCTCTGAAACGAAAAGATGTATAAAAATTTTCATTTTTGTTTTTTTTGCGATTACTATAACTTGCCCTACTGAAAGTTAATAATAAATACTAATTAGGGATACTATAATAATCTTTTTTTTAATACATTCAATTATTATAAACAACATTTTTTAAAATTAGTTCAAAAGTTTTTATATTTTTTTTATCTTAGGGTTTTTTCGTTTCTAAGCTTTGCATAAAATGGCATAAAATTTTCTTTATAATTATAACTTTAGTAAAAAGTATCGCTTAAACATAGATAAAAGAAGAGTATGCGCCTAATGTTATCTTTTCCTCTCAGAAAGTTCGTTTTTCTACCTTTACTAATTTTCCTAAATTTGAAATTGGAAGTACATAATCAATAAATGATTTTTAGAGCATTTTTAGATTTTGTCATTCGGCAATTTTCTCTTTCCCAACATATAGTTTCATAAAAACTCATCGTATATATCATTTTCATATATTTGGCGTGTTGTATTTTTTTATTAACAAAGTAATAACGTAGATTCAATTTCAACCTATACTTTTCAAAAATTCGGGTCAAAAAACCTGTATCCAGGACAATACTGCTTCTGGAAACCTTAGACCGTTTCTTTCATCAGTCATCTTAATCATAATTCACAAAATTTAGATTTTATAATATGCTAGTAGTACGCTTATAGTTTTTTATAGTAATTATCAAAATTTATTATAAATGCATAATATGCTAGTAGTTTTTTATAGTAATTATCATAATTTATTATAGATGCATAACGTTTCTTAGTTGGTTTGGGTTGATGTAAGCATATATATACGCATGAAATACTTTTAAATTTGAATACTACTGGGATATATGATAAAAAAAATTAGGTAATGTTTTCTCATAATACAACTGTCTAAAAATATACCATTTTAATTAATTCCAATTAAGTATATATGTAGTTCATTAAAAATAAAAATTGCGTTTTTTACATTAATAATTAAATTAAAATTTATTATTACAGTATGGCAAAATATCAAAACCTTTGCACTCAACTATTGAATTAGCGCACACTTTGCGCAATTCCGAGGATCCAACACTGCGTCATCTTTCAGGTACAATTATTATCAGCATTTGTTCGTATGTATTCAGTATTGCATTATTATTGAGATAATAACATTTCCAAAATTGAATAATTTATTCTAGGATCACTTTCAACCAGACAATTACTACGCATAGCGCACCGCATGTCAAGCTACCCAACTCAATCAGCATACGATACAATTCATCGAACATTTTTGAGTAAATTCCTTCCTAGTATTCCTCGAAATGCTTTGGATAATACAATGAAGAAACTAAATATTACTGACACCAGTTTTGCAGGTACTGTGCATTGATTTAAAAAAAAAAAATTAAAAATCTAACTTATTACTATCATCAGGTAATGAAGAAACAAAGAAATGTGTAGTTGAAAATGGAGTTTTAACGATTGGCAAAACAAGTACACATATATACAAAACCGATGCTCATACTAAAGTTCCAAATATTCTTTTCTATGATGTACCACAACATACTGAATTGTTAGAATGGCTTTTACAAGATTTTCTAATAGGCAATCATCTGCTCCTGGTTGGTAATCAAGGAGTAGGCAAAAATAAAATTACTGACAGATTACTCCAACTTATGAACAGACCAAGGGAATATATTCAACTGCATCGTGATACTACAGTGCAGACATTAACTCTTCAACCTACCATTGTGGATGGAGTGGTTGTTCATGAAGATTCGCCTCTTGTTAAGGCCATCAAAAATGGTCATGTTTTAGTAATAGACGAAGCTGATAAAGCACCTACACATGTTACATGCATTCTAAAAACACTAGTAGAAAATGGTGAAATGATTCTAAGTGATGGTCGACGAATTGTTCCTCAAGATTTTAATAATGATGGAAATGTGTTTGGAGATATTGTGAAAATACATCCAGATTTCAGAATGATTGTACTTGCGAATCGACCAGGATTTCCATTTTTAGGAAACGATTTCTTTGCGGCTTTAGGTATTGTAATAAAATTATAAACATTTTATTATTACACTTTGTATTTTTTACTTTTTTCTTTTTTCTTTAGGTGATTTATTCAGCTGTCACTCCATTGACAATCCATCAAGGGAATCAGAGATGCAATTATTGTCTTCTTATGGTCCTGACGTACCAAAGCCAACACTGAGCAAGTTGGTCAGCGCATTTTCTGAATTGAGAGATAAAGCTGATAGAGGAGAACTCTCTTATCCTTATTCCACAAGAGAAGTTGTTAATATAGTAAAACATTTACAAGTACGTATTAACTAAATCATTTTTCTGCCAACCTTGCAATGAAGCAATCTGATTTTATATTATTTTTAAAGATTTATCCAAATGAAAGTATATCGGATGTAATCGGAAACGTGTTAGATTTTGATTTATATTCTGGTGAAGCATTGGAGTCAGTTGCTACAATTTTGAAGAAGCACGGTTTACATGTGGAAAATGTTGTAGATTGGGGTAAAATAAGAAGGCAAAAGGATTTGCAACTTACAGTTGAGCGAAAAAGCGGGTAATATGAATTATCATAAATTATAACGTTATTCACACTTTTATTGTACTGCACATTAAAAAAAGTTAATTACAGAATTAATAATATAAAATTAGAAATATTTGCTTTAATAAATATTATATAAATAGTTAATAGATATTAAAGTACTTGTCAATCTTAATACATAATGTTGATTAAATGTTGTGTATCAATTTATTTTGGAATGCAGAAAGGATGTGAAAGGACCCAAACATGGAAAAGAGGACCCGAAAAACGAACCGCATGTCGGAGGAAATACTTGGGCTGGTGGTACCGGTGGACGTGATACGGCAGGTTTAGGTGGCAAGGGGGGACCCTATAGATTAGATAAGGGACACACTGTGCATCAGGTAAAAAATTTTCATCAAAATCAAATGTATTGTTTAGTACAAAAAACGAGTAATTCTTTTAACAATGCGATTTGGAGAAAATTCTTATCAAATAAAATTAATTTTTTAATAATACAGTTGTCTGATGCCGAGAAAGATGATATTCCAGAAGAAGTAAAAAGAGCTGCACGTGAAATGAATCGAAAAGCGTTTGAAGAGAAACTACGAGAAATCAGGATGAGCGAATATGATGCTGATTTGTACAATCAATTTTCAAATGCTGTTACTAAACAGGTATGCTTTAAAGTGAACAATAATAATGTCTATATGCTTTCATTTGTGATGAAATATTTTATTTAAAAAATAATCAAATATTTTTAAGGTTCAATCATTGAGAGTGATTTTAAGCTCTTTGCAAGCAAAAAGCAAAGAAAGACAATGGCTGAAGCATCAGACGTCCGGAGAACTGGATGATTCAAAATTAATAGAAGGTATTACATGTTAATTTGTTGACTTCTCAGGCTAGCAATTCAATATGCTAATAATATTTACAAAAATATTTTAGGTATTACTGGAGAGCGAAGTATTTACCGGAGAAGAGGAGAACACGACCCTGAAATAGGAGCACCTCAGCTTAAGCCAAAACGATTACGACTGCTGGTTGATGTTTCTGGAAGCATGTACAGGTCAGATATCTAAAATTATCGAAAAACGTTTTTAATTTGGTGTTGAATGTAAAAAAATAATTATTTATTTTGTATCAAATTGTCAACATTTTGATAGAAAGCTTGCCTGTAGTAAAGGGATGAGGTATTTTTAAATACTACAAGAATATAATACTCAAGAATCTACAAATAAATAAAAAATATTGGTTTCTAAAGCATTAGTAAATACTTAATTTTAGACAATAATGATTTTGAGTTATTTGTTTATTCTATTAAGTATATTTTTATTTATTCTACTATAACAGATTCAATGGATATGATGGACGCTTAGATAGACAATTAGAAGCAGTAGTTCTTCTGATGGAAAGTTTTGAGGGTCACGAAGATAGATTCCAGTATGATATATTTGGTCACAGCGGTGAAGCAGACGCTCTAGAATTTGTTAATCATTCAAGACCACCTAAAAATGAAAAAGCTAGATTGGAAACAATAAAAGTAATTAATATTTTAATCTTACAAATATTGTTGATATTTTCAAATAATGGTCCAGATTGATATTGAGTTGTTTTAGTGTTTTTTATTTAGTATTTTTGAAATAAATTGCTTAGTTTTGTAAATGCTTTTGTGGGTCAAAATTTCTATATACAGTTTTATTCAAATAAAATTGTACTAATCACATACAAGGTTATAATGCCCTAAATTTACTATAAGTAAAAATAATTCAACTCAGTATTAATAATATTATTAATGCAATTTCTCTTGTGGTCTAGATGATGCACGCACATGCTCAATTTTGTTGGTCTGGGGATCACACATTAGACGCAACAAATATAGCTATTGATACCCTGGCTAAAGAAGATTGTGATGAGGCAATTGTCGTAGTTTTAAGTGATGCAAATTTGAGAAGATACGGCATTCCTGCAGAACGTCTAGCTAAAGTATTGACCAAAAATCCGGAAGTACAGGCATATGCAGTTTTCATTGGAAGTCTTGGAGAAGAAGCAGAAATGTAAGTGTTTAAATATAACGAATCAAGAACATTAGTAGAAGTGATAAAAATTTTAATTAAATATATTACAGATTAGCTCGAGCTTTGCCTCCCGGCAGAGGATATATCTGTATGGATGTAGCTGAGTTGCCACAGATATTGCAGCAAATATTTACATCATCTATGCTTAGTTAATATATTATAAATGTATAGAAAAAAATGTAAATAATAGTTTAATGAAATGTCATTCCGGTGTTGTAAATAAGTTGTTATGAATTGTGTTGAAATATATTTATATTCTTATAAACAATTCTGAATTTGTTCAAAAAATCATTTTTGAGAAGAGATTTTTTTAAAAATGTTATATGAGTAACATTATGTTATGGTTGTGATATGGTATGTCTAAATTTTGCATATATATACAGCTGATGAAAAGAGCATCAATTTTTTTGTTTTACATATTGAATTTTTGGCTCCGGCGTTTGTGATAAACGATTCTAGTTTATTATGATTCTTGTTTGCATGTTTTGTACTTTTGTGAGCTGTATATACTTAGATAATAGAAATGTATATATATATACCCGTAAATTGATATTGAACGCGCAACACACGTCCATGACTAATAAAAAAACAATCGATTTTGTTTGTTTTTATAAGTGTATAATTGAAAGATAAGGAATAATTTCTAAATCTGCTATTAAAATAATTCTTTTTAAAATTGACTTTTACCGCCATCTGGCCTTGTACTCTCGAATTGTGCGAAAATGCACGAGAGTCTACGATATTTACCGAGGCGTCAGTTTCGATATGGGTTTTGACTGTTTCAGCCATTTTACTTCGGGAGTGATAGTTGATAATAAAATTAAGTATATACAAAGGTTTTAGTTGTTTGCTTTCTCCACGGCCTACCGTGTCCTTATGATTATATTTTAGGTCTCTAATGGCTTGTTTAAATACACTAAAATTAGAAATTAAAACATTAGAACGATTTTTTCCCAAAAATCATGAACGATTTCAAATTATGTCAGCTAGTGTTGATGAGTTGAGTTGTAAATTTATTGGAAGTACAGGCAAAAAATACGAAATTCACGCAAACATTACTGTAAGTATGACATTTTAATTAATTGTTTTTAGCAATGAGACTTATATTATATGCGCATTCGCCTCAATGATATCTCGCAAATTGCTTCAATCTCTTGGTGACGAAACAATGAAATTAGCGATATGTACCTCAAACAATAATTTCTAGATGGTACCAAAATTTTTTTTCGTGACATGTTATGCTACATTCTATTGGATAAACAGCTTCACGTTGTTCTTACTTATTTCAATTAATTTTAAAACAATTATTTATAATATCATATACACATGCTTGACATCCAGAGTGCTGAATTCATATATCATATTATGCAAATATTTATGTCTAATATATATATATATATTTATACATACAATTGTGATTGGTTTAAGACACTTCATACAACTTCCAGATTATTTGATATATATTATTTTAATCAAGACAATTTTTTTCTGTGTTATGGCTTTTTAGCTTAGTAATCAATTAATTAGCAGTTTGAAGTTACATTGAAGCATGTGTTAAATATATCTTATATTTATTAGGAAACTTATCCATCTACGCCACCAGTATGGTTTGCAGAAAGTGAGGAAACTAGTGTAACAAATGCTATTCAAATCTTAAGTAATACGCAAGGACGGGACAATCATGTAATTAGTCAAGTAAGTACCCTTAAGAATTATACTTTTACTGTCAAATACAAGTGGTAGTACTAAATTCTAAGTGGAGTCAACTATACTTTCATATTTTGATAATTTTTGTGCATTTGTGATACTGACTGACTTTTTTAATCCTCCTAAATTTAAGTTTAATCTATTTATTGCGCATATTTCAAGCTTTCAATAAATTTGATATCTAGTACATGTATCACTAAAGCTATTATGGTGACATATTAAAAGAAATTTAAGAACTGCATTTATGAATAAAGATACAACACTATTTGGAATGCTTAGATACAAAAGTATATATACTCCATGTTTATTGTATCTTGCTATTTTCACTCATTTTATTCAAATAATAAGTACCTTTCTTTAATTCAGGTTGGCATTCTGGTAAAAGAACTATGTCGATTACATCAAGTTCCAGAGCCTCCCGATTTAGATGGCCTCACCCTAGGCATGATACCAGGCCCTGAACATCCTGCATCTCCTCCAGAACATGGTAATGGCGAGCCCATGGATAGTGAACTGGAAGATGGATTAGATAGTGAACCAGATTCTGATATGGAGGAAGATTTACATCTTGAAATGGATGAAACTGTTAGAAGCAATAAGGTACAGTTTTTGCGAAAATTATATTGTTTCCTTTAACAATTGTGCAATCTGAGACTATTGAACATCGCATTAAATTTATCAGTTATTTTATAAATTATGATTATTCTATGTTTGAAATTATTATTTGTATTTGTGTGTATTTAAATATTTCAATTCCATATGTTCAGATTGAAATGGTTTATATCATATTGATTATTAATTTGTGCTTTGAATAAGGTTTTGTGCAATCAGTTTTTATGTTGTTGGCATAGCATTTTTAAGTTGTATGCAGTATTTACAAATTATGCCTTTGCTTCAGAAGGACGAGATGGGGGTAGAACATTTAGCAACATTAGAAAGATTACGCCAAAGCCAGCGACAAGACTATTTGAAGGTGATGTTTATTTTTTGCATGGAAAATTCAGTTCAAAGTTTAGCTTGGAAATTGAATTATAACTTTGCTTATGAATACTTCAATAATCTTTTGTGTATATGTGTAGGGTTCGGTGTCTGGATCTGTACAAGCAACAGATCGTCTCATGAAGGAATTACGTGATATTTATAGATCAGATTCTTTCAAAAGTAATATGTATTCAATAGAACTGGTCAATGATTCAATATATGAATGGAATATTAGGTTAATGTCAGTTGATCCAGACAGTCCTCTGCATAATGATTTATTGTTACTGAAGGAAAAGGAAGGCAAAGATTCCATATTGCTAAACATTATTTTTAAAGAGACTTATCCTTTTGATCCTCCATTTGTTCGAGTTGTGCATCCCATAATATCAGGTAAATAATACACACTATTGGGAATATTGAATGGTTAGTTTTGTTTATTAAAAATAATTATTTCACAGGTGGGTATGTCTTAGTTGGTGGTGCGATATGCATGGAGTTGTTAACAAAACAAGGTTGGTCAAGTGCCTATACCGTGGAGGCTGTTATCATGCAAATAGCAGCAACTCTCGTGAAAGGCAAGGCACGCATTCAGTTTGGACCGGCCAGAGTTGTAAATCAAGGACAATATAGCTTGGCAAGGGCACAGCAGAGCTTCAAATCCTTAGTGCAAATACATGAAAAAAATGGTAATATAATCTATGTTACTAAATAATTTTTGTAGATATCATTTTACACCAGAATTTTTACAGGTTGGTTTACACCTCCTAAAGAAGATGGCTAAATTAAAGTGTGTTTTTGTTTAAAAGAGACTATTCAAAATTAGATTGTGTCAAAAAAGAAAGTTAAAAACAAAAGAAAAGTTATGAAATGGACCTTAAATAATAATTACTTCATAAAGTTAACTTTTTAGTTTAACATAAACTTTTAAGAACTTTAAAGTGAAGTTTTCTTGCTGTTTTATCATGTTATGCTACTAGTTTCCATTTTTAAACAAACCATGCTATGTGTTACTAAATTGCAATTGATAAAAGTGAACATTAATATAAACATCTTACGGAAAAACAATTACTGATGAAGTTTTGTGAATGTGATTCCAATTTTCCAAGGGTGTATGATGTTTTAAGTGATTCCTTGTTTAGTTCTTGGTGCCACTATCAAAGACTCGATTTAAACTCCCAGCTCATGGTTACATTAAATAAACTGTGTTGGGAGTTTGCATCTCATTTCTATGAATTAATTATTTTCTAATTGACTTAATTATTGAAACAATATTCTAAATTAATTAGATTTATTTCAAATGTGTTTAAAAAAATCTTATCACCATGTAAGTTCATCCTTATAAGATCAAAATTATATTTATCCTTCATATTAAATTTCTTATTAGGAAATAAACTATATATTAAGTTACATATTATGCAGTTACTGAATAAATATTTGTATATAAAACATTTTACTTATATTTTTATTTGAGTGAAAGTATGTTGAATATTAAATAATGCTTTATTTGTAAATTTAAGTTTTTTATTTGATGCTCTTTGGGTTATTTTAGCGTTGTTAACATTTCATTGTTTTTACATAATTTATTATTTCAAGAATGAATTAGTTCCCCTATTTTTTTATATATGTTATTGTATAACTGACCAAAAATATTATTCGTATTTTTTGCAATAAAGAGCCTATAATGACTTTATTGAATATAGATACAACACATGCGTGTAACAGTTGAATGATTCTTAACAAATAACATAAATATATAAATAGTGGTGCATGGCATTGTGCCTCAAGGCAAATTGCTGGAATTTCAGAAAAACATTAAATTTATATAAAATTATTACTGAAACTATATATGCTCATTTTCAATATTTATTTGGAAAATCCCTGAAGAAAAAAGAAAAAAGAATTTTTGAAATATAATTTTAATAATGATATTGTATTTGAAGTTGGTACCCACTTACCAACTAGATAAATGTCGGTAAGTTATGGTATTACTGATGTTGGCACTACTTAAATATTATTTTGACTTTAAATTAAGTCCAGTCTTGCTCAAAACAAGTGAAATCTTTTAAGTTAGTGCTAAAATACAATTTTACTGTGAAAGACGTATTCCCACCTATGTGCATTATCCAAAAAAGAAAACTTTTGGTAAGTAATTTTTTATTACAAAAAATATAAACAAAATCTTTAGACATATAGGAAGGGTATATTTTTTAAATATATTTTGCAACACTAAAAGAAGACAGAACCACTAGCCTTTTATTCTTGTAATTTGTATCATATTCTTTCTTGGGTTATATTATGGCCGTTCTTATTGCAAAATTCATTGCATACATAAGTAGATACTTACAGTATACAAGACAATTGTATTGTATACTGTATTGGATTATTGTTTTAATACTATTCGTTGAACTATTATGACACAAAGCAATACCTTTCCCAAACAGAAATATACAGTAATTGATAGACATTGCATTACATTAGCAGAATACTTTTAACCATGAAGTTCTTGATGAACGTGAATTTCAAAAAATTTTAATGCAAAATAGAGTTGTTGAATATTTGTGAATTTACCAGCTGAAAGTTGATTTCTCATAATTGTGATCTTCGAATGGTTTAAAATGTTTATTTCCCCTGAATTTTGTAAACAACATTATATTATCATCATAATTATTTATTTGTGTAAAGAAAATTAGATACATTTATTTTTGATATATTTTTATATTATATTTCTCATTCTGACTTAAACTATAATGCCTTTTAAACATAAAAGCAGTCAAATATATATTTATTCAATTAAATTACTAACACATTAAAACTATATCATATATGATTCATATATCAAATAATGAAGATTTTATTTACAGAGGAGTAAACCTCATCATTATTTTACATAAAAACGTCATTACTAAACAATTCTACAAAAAATACAGTATTATTAAACCTAAGTATAAGCACTTATATCAATCCAGAAAAATAAAACTTATTTTCTATGTCAATTTCAACAAGATTAAAACAATTTCATGTTATAAGATCATTTTACCAAAGAGTCTTACACAACGTTCATACCACCCACATACACACAATGTAAACCTAAAAATAAATTTACGTGATATACTATTATCTCATATCAAAATCATTATTTTCTTCTGCAGTTTTGTCAGTATTGTTCTTCAACTGTTCTTTATCTTTCTTCATTCCGTCGATATCATTAGCATTATTATCATTGATCAATTCATCAATATTTTCTTCGTCCTTATTATACCTTAAATTTGGTTGGATGGGAATTTCACAAGAGTTAGATGATTCACAAAAGTCATTTGGTACTTCACAAGGTGATCTGGGAGATACTATTGTTTCAGGAATTGTGCTAGGTGTTAATAAGTCTGATGGCTCTGATCCAAAATGTAAGCCTTCAGTAATGATATTTATTTCTGAATTACTAGTATCGTCTACTTTACTAATTTCAGTTTCTGTAGAAACAACCATATTTGTTGGACTAAGATTCTGATTACTTTCGATAGTATTTTTATCTAGATTACAATCTTCACTTAATTCGGTAACTGAACTTTCCTTAACGTCTACCTGTGTGTGGGTAGTAGATTCTAAAACTGTAGCTGGTGAATCCTGCACATCTACATTTGAAACATTTTGATTTTCAATTATCGTTTCTGGAAATATATTGTTCTCATTGTTTATTTCCATTTTATCTATTGGTTCTTGTGTTTTGGTTTCATGATCTTTTTCCATGGTGCAATTATTTTCAATTTCCATGCTATCTTCTATAATATTTTTGTTCTCCAATTCATTGCTATTTTTTTCAATTAAATTATTTTCTAATTCTATTTCAGCTGGCGGACAAGTTGTATCTACAACTTTAGATTCTTCAACTGTTTCATTTTTTGTTGAAGCTTCTGTTTCCACTTGCATGTTTTTATTTGAATCTATATCAACTTCCAATTGACTATTTTCATTGTCATTAAGCAATGGCATTGACTCATTTGAAAATGTTGTATTTGAGCTTTCTGGCTCATTGAGTTCTTCATCTTTGCAATCACTATTTAATTCAGGCATACTTAAATTTGCTGATATATCACTGTTATGTACAAGACTTTCATGACTCATTGGTACATCTGGTGTTTGAAAAATATCACTAGACGCTAATTCTTTACTGGTTACTGGACTGTATGAAGTTGTTTGATATAACATTTCACATGCCATATGCAATGGATTTGTTGATTTTGGTGCTATTTCTGGATTTGTGATTGTAATAGGTAAATCTAAACTTGTAGGTATATTTGTTGAATTGACTCCTATAACAGCTAAGCTATCATCAATATTCTGATTAAAATTAATTTCTTCAATCTTTTCGCTATCTTCTGCTTTTTTACTAGGTAGTTCTAATGGCGACATGATAGGTTGTTGTAAAGCTGTACTTGTTTCACTTACTGTAGAGTGCTTATAATCATTTTGTTGTATATTTTGATAAATGTCTAGATCTGGATTTGTTCCATCATTTTGAAAAACATTAGTATTAGCTAATGCTGTTGCAAGTATATCTTTGTTACCAAATTCATGTTGGTATGAAACATTTTCATTAACAGTTAAAACATTTTCATCTAATGTATTAACTTCTTGATTTCCTGCAAGAGCTGCTAATATTTGTTGAGCGTTTCCTTGTAAAATCAATTGTTGCCCATCTGTAGTGAGTATTTGCTGCTCGCTAAGGGCTAGTAGACTTTGTTGATCTAAGATGAATTGTTGGCCATCAGCATTAATAATTATTTGTTGATTTTCTAAACCTTCTAATGGCACATCTATCTGAGCAGGAGTAACAGCAGTTGCATCAGCAGGCGAAACTGCAATTTGTTCTGTTAAAGTATTTTCTTCTGACATATTAGCCAAAACATTGTCCTGAACATTTGCTGCTGGCACTAGTTGATTATTGGCATCCAAATATAAAGGCTGATTATCAATAGGTGTCAAATTCCCATTTTCTTCAACAGAACATAAGAAGAAAGATCCCAGAGGTCCATTAAATGTCTCTCCTGGCACAGCTAGTAATTGTGCATCAGGTAAAGCAGTTAGAGCCGGTTCTTGAGGCAATGTTGTACTGGCATCAGATTCAGAAACATTTGCAGATGATAGTTGCTCTTGAGTTTGTGATATAGAATGAGTATCTGAATTATCTGAATGTTCTACATCGGATGATGTTGGCATGTCAATATTTGTTTGATATAATGCTTCTTGTGATGCCACAGATTTGGCATCAATTGGGGTAAGAGGTGGCATTGCTGGTTGTTTATTTATTATAATTGTTTTTTTCTTTTGAATTAGTTGAGCATTCTCTGTAACATTAGGTAAAGGACCAATTTTCTTTAAAGTTGTATTTGGCTTGATGATCTTTTTCTGATGAGGATGGTGTTCAATTTTGATATCTTGAGTCATTGTTTGCATGTGTTTTATTCCCTCTGGAGTGATAATTTTACCATGGGCCGTTTCAGTGACAAAACCTAATTTTTCCATCTCAGCCAATTGTTGTGTAGAAAGTTTGACAAAACCTTTCTTATGAACCTGCGGTTTTGTTCTTTCGGGTAAAATATTTTTTGTTATTTGATTCACATCTTTAATTAATGTATGTGGTTGATTATTTGTTTTCTTATTTACAATTATTTTTGTAGCTCCAGTTTTCTTAATTTGATTAGGGGATAATGAAGATAATACTTTTCCTTTATTCATTATTAGTTGATTTGGTTGTATAATCTGTCCAGAAGAAGAAATTAGTTTTGATGTTGTGACCAAAGAACCCTTTGATGTGAGCATGGTATGTCCCACATTTGAAGGAATTTTTTGTTTCATTGTTGCAGGTGCTAATTTTGCAGTATTTTGTAAATTTGTCCTGGATATTATTTGGCCTTTACTAGTAAGCAGCAACTGGCTTGGCTTTGACGTGGTTACGATGGCAGATGAATTTTTGGGGTTTATAATTGCTCCTTTAGATGTTACTATCGTCTGCGGAGTTACAGAACTTTTCATCTTTTGATCTGCAGTCAAAACAACTTTACTTTGTTCTCCATTTGAGTTTGTAATAAACAAAACAGTATTTCCAGAAGAGTCAACATTAACTTTTTGATGAACTACTTTTTGTATAATTGGCTTACCAGGTGGGCTCACTACCTCATTACTTCCAACTTGACTTGAATTACTAGTAGTAGTTTTAACTATTATTGATTTTTGTTGCAAACGCTTTCCAACTGTATATTTGCTGCCAGCTGGAGAAGAAGATGATGGGATAACTATGAATTTACCAGGTTTTCCAGGTTGTGTAATAACTGTTGGGTTTTGTTTTAAAATTTTAGTTTTGGTTGGCGATTGATAAACTCTTTGATTCTTTGCTAATAATGCACTATTGGGTGAGCTTGAAGCTGCTTTCTGAATTAACATAGATTTTGAATTTTCTACTTTTCTTAAAATTTGCATTTTAGGTGTCATCTTTGGCACATGAGTTTTTTGTTCCATCTTGTTTACAATTTCATGTGATTTATCCATTATTATTATATTATTATCAATAATCATGCTCGATTCATCAACATTTTCTGGCAGCACCAATTGCATTTGATCTAGATTATCATTTGTTATAATTTCATCAGATAAAACAATTGGCATGGAATTGATGTCAAAAACAGAGTCATCTTGAGCAACATTTTTAATAGGAACATGTTTTTTAGAAGTTATTATAGCTGGCTTCTTGGTACCTTTCTTCAAAATTCTCAATTCTGATTTCATTTGTTTTGGCATTTCATTTACAGGATCTCTATGTATAGAAGGTTTTGGTTTTTCAATTACAAATGTTTCGATATCTTCTATTTGATCAATAGCACTTTTGAAATCACTTTGATTTGTAGCTGCACTTTTCTCATTTTTCATCTTAATAACAAATTGTTTCTTAGGATTTGCACAGATGTCACTAACTTTATTATGTTTAACTTTGGAAGATGAATTTTTGATTATATCTTTTGAAGAATTAGATACTGAAGAGCACGGACTTTCAGTTAATATATTATGCAGGCGAGATTTCATTGGCGCTTTAAAAATTGTTTCAGGTGTTTGAGACCTACCAGTTATATATGACTGAATATCTGGTACTTCCAACTTTTTTTCTTCAACCTCAACATGAAGTTTATCTACATTATTAGTTTCACACTTTTTATCATCAATGTTTTCAATTTTATTATTCTTCTCTATATTTAGTGGTTCAGAAGCATCAATAGCGCCGAGTCCCAATTGAGGCACTTTTTGTTCAGGTAGTGTAGGTGATTTAGTCAACAATGTTGTGTTGTGCGTTGTAGTTTTGTTTTTTGCAGGAGATACTGTTGATTCATCAATATTTTCAGAGTGAGCTGATTCTGAAAAATTGATTAGACACTCAGCAACATTTATTGCACTAATTGATTTATCATTTTTATTTGTATCTTTATCATTTAGAATATCACTGTCATTGCTAATTATTTTATCTTCCTTAATAGAGGTTTGCAAGGTGTCATCACCAATTTTTGAAGATTCTTCTATAACTGCATTCTCAATCACATTAAATGTTTTATCTGACTCTTGAATTATTTGTGGAGGTTTATCTATTCTTGGAGATTTTGGGATACTTTCACCAGTCGAACTTCTTGATTTTCTTTTCTTTAATATTTGTTTTGGTTCAGCAATGTCATTTGAATGCAAGGAACTGTTGGTAATACTATAAAGTGATATGCTTTCTTCATTCTGTATTTCATCTGGGAGAACATCTCCAGTATTCTTTATAGTAATATCATCATTTTCATTCTTTTCATTATTAGTGTCACTTAACTTAGGTAATTTTGTCTCTTCAGGGTGGAGATTAGATTCTTTTATAGAGTCAGTATCGTCAATTTTAGTAACTACAGTATCAATTTTAGTAACTACAGAATCAATTTCAGAAACTACAGGATCAATTTCAGAACCTATAGGATCAATTACAGATAATTGGCCTTCATGCATTGCATTACTACTGAAATCAGATTTTGTGCTTATGGCAGCCTTCAAATCAGCTTCTGTAATTTCTTTTATGTCATTATTTAAATTATTTTCAATATCTTCTTCTTTATTCATACTGTCTGTTTCATTTTCTGTAGCTTTATCACCGCTTAAATTCAAGTTATCTTTACTCACATCATCTAAAACAATATCATTGTCATCAATAGGCTTTATATCACTTCCATATTTTTCTTGCATGCGAGTTTTGAATATTTGTTTGCTTTTGAAAATTCTTTTCCCTCTTTCTTTTGGAGACATTATTTCTCGTAAAGGTTTCTGTTTGACTTCTACATCAACAAATTTATCTTGTGGAACTTCTGGCAATTCAGGTAATTTGGTTTTATTAAGGATATCATCTATATCAAGTTCCAAATTATTGGAATCATTTTGCTCTTTAGAATCTAGTAGCTTTGTATGTTCAACTGTATCTGAAACCACTGGTTTTATAGAGTCTTGCTTTTTATCACTAGAACTTATATCTGCAGGTTCTGGCGTATATTCAAATTCCTTTCTGGTTTTCTTTGTTATAAGTCTAGGAATCTTTCTACCTGGACTTTTAGGAACATCAATTACATCATCTTCTTCAAAATCGAAACAAGATTTTGATTTGCTTTCATCTTCAGACTTTTCAACAGAATTAGTTCTAGATTTACTATCATTTTCTACAGGCATAGAAGTATCATCTTTATTATTAGATAAACTAATATCCATTATAGGATCTGTAGATTCATTTTTATCTTTTGATACAGATATAGATGCATCATCTTTTGATTTTGCAGATTCAGATACATCAGTTTCACTAACTGCAGTTTCTTGTTCATTTTCATTAATTGATAGATTAGATACATCTTTATCTGGTTCTACTACAGATGTAGATAATTTATTGTCGTCTTCAGACATGCTTGTATCTGCAGTTTTTTCTTTATCTGTATCTTCCATTTCACTATCTTGATCATCTGACCAATCGGCCAACAATTTACTTTTAATTTCATGTTCACTTGATTTAATTTTCTTAGCAGAAACATCAGTTTTCTTTGTTGATCTACCTCGTTTCTTTCCTTTAGGATTTATACCCGGTGACATTTTACCTTTAGCAGATAAAGCTCTTTTAGGTTCTTTATTTGCCATTTTAGGAGTATTCTGTGATTCATCTTGCGTGAGCTGACTAGTTCTTGATATACCGCTAACCCTTGTTGGTGTTTGATAGTTGGAATTATATGAGCTATTGGGAGAGTATTTTGAAAATATTGGTGAACTGCCATATCCACTTGCAGAATGTTGTTTTAAATGTATTATTATAACATTTATTCGATCTGTTTTATATCCACATTTGTAGCAATTATATTTCTTATCTGACGATGGTCCTGTTGGGGAGTTATATTGAGAAGATCCAGGTGTACTAAATTGTGATGACCGTGACTGCAATAAACAATAGTAAATTTATTTCAAGTTTAATTATTATTTTATTAATTCATGCGGTTTTTACAACATTCAAGAAATTTGAACTGTGCATTGTTTTATTGTCAAAAATGAATGTTTAATTTATTAGAGATTTTTCTGGCATGATCTTTTTCAAGAATTATGTATCAAAATGAGCTCTAAAGAATCTTACAAATATGTGTTCAGTATCAGGAGATAAAACTCCAGATAAACATACCTTAGGGGTCCAATCACTGCTGGGTGAGAGAATTCCACTTTTATTCTTTTTTGAAGGACTGGCTTTACTAATGCTAATATCTATTAAAGAAATACAAAAGATTAAAATATTTATTAGAAACATATTGTTGTCGTCAATAATCACCTTTTGTTGTCTTTTTTTTCTTTTGTACGGGCGAGCCATATAAATCATTGTAACTCAATTTAGGGCTAGGTGCATATTTAGAATCCTCAGCTATAGCTGGGTTACCACCAGTTAATTCCTCTGCTTTTTTAATATCATTAGGAAATTTTTCCATAAACTTATTTTTTGCCCGAAATTTATCTATTATAAAAATAACAATAGTTAAATAATATTGTAGACATATATATGTATATATGTGTATGTAATTTATTTCTTTATATGTAATGTTATATATATGTATGTATGTTTACCAAGTCCTTTCTTAATGAATTCATCTTTTCTACTGCAATTATACCGATAAATATCACTAACACTCTTGACAAAACCACTGAAAGAAAAAAATAATTTAATAATGAGTCTACTATTTAACACATTTTTGAACACTTACAATTTCTCTTCTTCAAAGAATCTAACAACAGCAAAAGGCGACTTTTTCAAGCCTTGTAAAGTTCCTTCTGGCAATTTATTTTCTGACCACACTTCGCCTGGCCACCAACATGGCCCCAGTTTCACCCATACTATGTCCCCATCCAAATATTGTATTTCAGTTTGATCACACATGTTAACTATAATAATTAAGAAAACATTTAGGAGGAACAAATTGGTAAGTTACTTAATTAATTAAAAAAAATGTGTAAGGTTTATGACCACAGTACAATATTAAATTTCATTCGCAGATAGAGTAAGTTAAAATATTCATGCGTTCTCTTACGATATAGTTTTTATAGATAACTTGAACTTTCTGAATTTATTTCATTGCATAGTATTCAAATATATGAAATTTTATGTTTGTTATGATTGGATCTGGCAGGTTGACTGTAACTACAAATGGCGAATCGCGCTTTGCTCGGAGTGATAGATGTGCGAACAACTGATAATAGTAGACACATAATTTTTTACTCCAATGCACTTTTACACAGGTTTATTCTTGATATTCTACTATTTTTGATTAGGTCACTTACATTGTTTTACATATAAAATAAACTTTAGCACGAATTTTATAATCTCGGGCGTTCATGTTTATTACCCACAATACATTGAACAAGCGTCGCCAAGGTACACCAACATCAGAAAATTGCTTAAATAAATTATTGTTAACATGATAAATGCCTTGGATATGTTTTTATTTAGTATAAATACACAAATATATGAATGCTTTAATATTCATTTATAAATTAATTCTAAATTTTAAATTTAAAAAATATTTAAGAATTTTCATAGTAAAATGTTGGTCATTCTTAATAGATTAAATAGTCGAACTTCACAATGTTTTGGTAACGTGTTTCAATAGTAGTAGTGGCGTTTGTCAGCCATTTACGAGCATAATTCAAAAGAACAAGGTAATGTTTGTTTTGCAAATAAATAACCGGTATGTCCATTTTTTAATGTATTATTCCTTATATTCTTTGTGGTTTATCTTGGAGTAGAAAACAAAAGACGAAGCAGTCTCAATTATTTTTTCACTATTTCAGATTACATGAACTAAACAAGCGTTGACATCGCAGATTTTAGATTTAAAATAGCGGGGTTTAAATATTTTAATTCTGTGAAGACTGTTATAAAAAGTAGAAAAACTTATAACTGCAATATGGCAATGGCGGTACCATCACGTTTCGCATGTCTGAAAATTGAAGACGATGATTTTCGACCAAAAAATCCGAATAAAGAAAAGAATTGTAATAATAAGAAAAAACCTGCAGGAAACAATAAATCAGAACCTAAAAAAACAACTAAAGGAAATCCCAATCCTAAGAACCTTCAGGTAAATTATTTATTTTATGTTTAAAAACTAGAATTGTACAAAACTGATGAGATATTTTTTTTAGCAGTCGAAAACAAATCAGCAAAATAAGAAGAAAAAAAATGATAAAAGTACTGAGCAATGGGAGCAATGGAAACAAAAGGATAATGAATTAGTTGATGAGTGCTATGAAGATGATTTACAACAGGTTGATAAGTATTAAAACATTTTCTTTAAGTAAGAAAATGATTTCATGGAATTATGCTTCTGATAACTATATTTATAAAGATATTTCATGCATTTTGTTTATCTATAATATTTCAATATTTTTGAAAATCTACAGGCTCTACTTCTATCTAAGCTAGAGTTTGAAGAAAAGAAACATCTGAATAAGCAAAAGAAATGTAATGAAGTAATTGGTAAATCGGATAACATTGATGGGAAAGAAAATAAAAAACAAAAGAATAAGTCTAAAGTTATGTCCTTGGACCAGTTTAATAATCTAATGTCGGGAAATGTAAATGAAGAGGTTAATGTAACAATCAATCAAGAAGTAGAGGAAAATTTTGAGAATGATAAAGAGTTTTTCTCAAGATTGCAAATGGATACTAAAGAGGAGTTATCTAAAGAGCATATGAGAGAAACCATTCAAGTACGACAGCCTCCTACAACTGAAATTATAACATCCGCACAATATAAAGAACAAGTGAGTTATCATTTATAACACTCATATATATATATATATATATATATATATATATATATATATTGTGATAATTCTAAAATAAAATGGGTTTTGCTGCTGCTTTCTATCTGTGTTAACCGACTGAATGATGCTGAATTCTAAACAAAGCCCTTTTGATATTCAATATTTGTTCATATTGATATTCTAAGTCATTGATTGTTTATTAATCAAAGTTAATATATAGTAGCAGAAGAGAAAGATATGTTTTGCACTCTTGATCTGAGCGTTCCAAGAATTAGGTTCATGTACATACAAGCTGACAATTTAGCAGAACAGATTAGCAAAATGTGTTGTTAAAGTATTAATAATAATTCAATTATTGATGAATTTTTAAATATTACAATTTCTGTTTACTGTATGGTATTGTCACGGCCCCTGAAATAATAATACTTGTTTCAATTTTCAACAAATTTTGAAAAGTATTCAAGGAATATTTTGAATTTATTAGATTTGCAAGAAAATTCAGCATTCTTCTATTATTTCATTTCAATATTCTTGTTTTGATTTTGGTATTCTTTTAACATTTACATGCATTTAATTGTCCAAATATCTAATAATTAGTTGTGATATTGAGTTCACAATTCACAATTTTCCATCTTGCTTGTTGATATTAGATAGCAACCACATTATTTTATGTGATTTTAATAATTACAAGGATATAGTTATATGCTCTTAATATAATAATTTGAAATATCACAAATGATAGAAAATCTCTTCACTTTTAGCTTGAAAAGAAAGATGAAGAAATACAAAAACTTCGAGCAGTAGTAGATGACTTGAAAGCAGAGTTATTGACTGTTAAAACTAGAAATAAGAAACTTTGTAGCATTCTTGGTCAAGGGGAAAGTAAGTTGGCAAATTTCATTCAACAATAAATTGAATCAAAATTACTTAATATAAATATACGTTTTCAGTGCGAGATAAAGCAGAAGTTCTTGTAGAAGTTGATCGTTTGACTCGTGTTCAAGTTGAACTTACTGCAGAAGTACAGTCACTGCATGCTCAGTTAGAACAAGAAAAATCCAAAGTGCATTATTTAACTGAAAAGGACCATAAAGGGAAGGATAAGGTATGTATTGGGAATTTTAATCATGGTTTTTTGTTGAAATATAATTCTTTGATATTTTCCAAATTATTGGTTATATGTTTGGGTATGTAAAGACATTTTTAGTTTTGTATGGTATTTTCCAGTTTCGAGTAAAATCTGTGAGATTCGATATGTCAACAGAAATTTCAAGACATGATTTGAATTGAACCAATTGATATGTTTATCAGATATTATTTATAAATATCTTATTCTGTATCAAATTCAGTATTTCTGTACATATATTTCAAGAATTATATATTTGGTTCACTTCAATGCACTTAATTTCTATATAAAAAAGTATACAATATTTGTAAGTGTAGGTTATATTTAATTATATATTATTATGGAGGGATTTATGATAATTATTTTCTCAGAAAAAACGGGATAATGCTGCAACTAGAACAGACTAAAGGACTGACTGAAGAAATAATTTCAGAAACAATTCTATGTTATGAAACTATTTTACATTTCCATTCTTTAATTGAAGTTTTAATAACAAGAGTTAATGAAATGAATTTAATACTTTGATTTAATACTGATCAGTATCTAGCTTATTCCGTTAAGATTATATAGAGATATGTTATATAATGAAATTTTTTAATAACCCAAAATGTTATAATTTACATTTAAGTGAATGTATATGTGATACAGCATACGTATTAAACCTATTAATTAGTTATATATCATTCTATTCAAAAAGATTATTTTATATTGAAATATACTCATAAGATAAAAATATATTCATAAGATTATTAAGAGTTTCATTGAACAAATGTTACATGCTATTATTCAAGAAACTATCATTAAGTATTTTGATTAATAATTTTTAACTTTCCGAAGGAGAAGTTTATGTTTTCATAAAAAAATCCGATTCGCTAATTTTATGTTTTCTCGACCATTCTGAATCGAATGAGACCAAATTTGGAAAAAGTATGTGTGTATGTGTGTGTACGCGTGTATGTGAACAGATTTTTTGCCGTAAATCGATGTTTTGTCAAAAACGGTTCGACCGATTTCAAAAATTGAAAAGCCATTCGATATATCTCGATGAGAACTATTGTTTGTCAGTTTTGTGTGACGATCGGCCAAGCCGTTTCTTTATAAATCGCAGAAAAGTAAAAAATTTTTCGTCTACGTTTTAGCCCGCAATTCTGAATCGATTTTGAAAATTCAAAAACCGTTGGAAATCGTGCTGATTAGTTTTTGGTAGATATCGGTCGGGCCGTTTTCTTGTAATAAAGTTTAAAAAAAAAAATTCGAAGATCTTTATGATTAATTTTTTGACGGTAGATACCATAGTCTTCTAGATCATACTAAAATATTACGGCTCTACGACAACTGGTTTAGCTTTAAAAATTCGTCAAAGTTTGCAAAAATTAGTATGGTCTTTTTGACATTTGTCAAAATTAGAACTTTATCAACGTTTGCTCAAAAACGCCTGAACCGATTTCAGATATTTAAAAAGCATTTGATGTACTCGATAAGGATTATCGTTTCTCAGTTTTGTGCGACGATCGGCCGAGCCGTTTCTTTGTAATTTGGAAAAAAGTGTTAAGCCTTTCGTCCACATTTAAGCTCATACTACCGAACCGATTTTAAAAAATCAAAAACTGTTCGAAAGATAATTAGTTTGGAATGAAATTGATTAGTTTTAGGCGAAAATCTACTGAGCCGTTTTCTTGTAATTAACTGTTGAAAAAAATATTTAGGCCGATTTTTATGGAACTTTTTTTGGCGATATGTATCATGGTCTTATAGAACTTACTGAATTATTACGGCCTTACGACAAGTAGTTTAATTTTAAAAATTCATCAAAGTTTGAGAAAATGAGTAGTTTTTTTGACGTTTGTTAAAAATAAATTTAGATGATTTAGTTGGTATAACGATAGTGTACTTGGTCTTGAACATAGTAAACCATTAAAGTCCTACCGAAACTGGTTCAATTATAATTTTTGATTAATTAAAATTATTGATTTTTGAAAACTTGCTTTTAGAAAATACTCCGAGTTAACGTGTTCGTTCGTTCGTTTGCAATGATGTGTGATAAATCCACTCGGAATACTTATAATCACTCATAAATTAATTTATTTTTCATTGATTAAGTCGATTATTTACACATATCGGGAAGTTCATGTAACTTGCCTCAAGGCTAAATACCAAACCAACTAGTATAAATAGTAAATAGAAATAAAATATTGTAGTAAATAGAGAAATAAAAATAAAAAATAGTAATAGAAATTAAATATGAAAATTAAAAATATGGTAAATTTCTAAAATATGGTAAACCAAGAATTTGAATACGTCACTAATATTTATAACTTATTTTTTTATGTCCATGTATTAGCTAGATTAAAATTGTAGTTAAATGCATCAATTCAGGAAAAGTATTTATCTTTCGTATTTCGCGCCCAACTTTGATTGAATCAAGTGCAGCAACCTTCTAAAATCGCATCCCCGTCATACAAGAGTCGAATTGGATTCCTATTCTTTCTCCTCAAGCAAAACCCCTAGCGCTTGCGCGGCTCATCTCCACCGCTTCGCGCTACGTGCTACGTCTTTATCATTTTCCACCGACAGAAAGAGGACGTAGCGCTGTGACGTCACGCCGTTGTGCGCTCAATCGGCAGTTTTCTTGTTCAATCGATGGCGGCGAGCGTATGTTGGTAATCGGCCCATATAAATACACGAATACCATCTCACTTCTTTCTTTGTATTAGTCGCTTGTGTATTAGTGTACAGATATGACCTATTTTCAAAATGCCGGGGATGTAGTTTTCCTTCCTAGGAATCGATGTTTGGTCCGTTGGTGAGTAGCGTCAAGTCAGTATACAATTGACCGTGCGACGGGTGCGCGTGTGTATATAGATATATTTTGTATACATATTAAATGTGGTTGTGTTTAGTTTAAGTTTTTAACATTTAATTTTTAATAATATATACAAATAGATAGATAGTTAGATTATTTCTAAGATCGACTGTGTAATGTTAGAGTGCTACGATACAAGTGTGCAATATGGTGTATAAATGCTAGGTGTCATCGAAGTGGTGGCATGGAAAAAGATGGCTGACGACGGACGACGTTGTGATTCGTGCGGATTTTGGGTGGAAAAACAATAAAAGGGGTATGTAGGCTTTTAAATAAATCACAATAATTATTATTTGTTCTTCGACAACTGTGTGGAAAGTTCTACTTAACATTGACCACTGGCTTAGTTGAAATGTCAATTACAAAATCATTGTTACACTATTTATATCTTCCCACAATTCTAGGAACAAATTTATTTTAATCGTTTAAACAAGTTCTTCTTCAGTTCACCTATACATATTATTCAAATAAAATTGTATGTTTCACTAAGGCATATTTTTTAATTATAAACAGAAATTAAAAATTATTAGAAAACATTAATTTAGTTGCAGATATACTAGTATATATATATATATATATATATATATATGTATATATATATAATAGTATAAACAAATAAATCTATAATACAAAAAAATTCAATATTAAACGGAAGTCAATTTATTCACCGCCTATTGATTTTTTCCGCTATGTGAATCAATAATGTAGATCTAATAACGAATTTATTAGATGAGTTATATTGCACGTTTGGAATATCCTCAAAAAGCTATTTGAAATTTAGATATTGCATCAAATTGTAACTAATAACATCATTAACAATAACACAGGTCTATATAATAGAAAAAGTTGTCTGTATTGGGTGTGTGGCATATATTTCCCAATGCACTTTCTAAAAATCTATATAAAATTTAGATATTGCATCAAATTTTTTATGAACTAAGATTTGATAAATTAAGGCAGTAACATTAATAATAGCACAGTTACACAAAATAAAAAACTCTGTATTGGGTGTGTGGCATATCTTTTCCAATGTAGCTTTTACTGCTGATACTAATCTAAAGTCAAAATTGTGGGTCAAATGGTAAACAATGAAAAGAAATTTAGGGAAAAGTCCCGTAACGCCGGACTGCACCTAATACCGGACACTCTATTTAACACGTATTCTTTAAGCGAGTATATATTTTATATATCAAAATACAAGTGAAAGGGGCGCGGGGGGCACACAGGTGCAGGATCACCCGCCAAGACTCACCTGTGACGCACACGGCCACGGCGGGAGCAACCCTTTGCTGTTTTAGGCGCAAAATCACGGCGTCACCTAAATATCAATGGATGTAATTCTACTGTATTTATACATTTATATTTGAGTGGCATTGAATGATAAAAATAGTACTTGATTGTTATCCGTAAAACGGTAGAATATTATTAGATATTTTAAACAATTTTAGTAGGCACCACCAAATGAACGAACATGCTTGTCCCTTAGTAACGGACACTAAGTCGTTTCTTAGTGCCGGACAGTAAACATATTGAAATTTCTTGTGAGAGTTGACGTAATTTATTTTAATTATTTAATTTTATTCTGTATGAGTGCTAACGGTCACTACATACCCCCATTTATCGTATTTCCTAGTCAAAGAATGAAAATCTAATGATGAATGCTCCAACTGAGAGCATCGGTGTGTCCCAGTCAAAAGGGTGGATAAACAGTGATTTTTTTTGCAATATCTAAGAATATTCGTCAAACACACATGTGCAGAGTATGGAGATGGCTACCTATGTGTTCAATACTGGTTATTTTGAAATGTCCGGTACTAGGTGCTATTTTGTAAAATCATATTTCTTGTTACCAAAGTTTGATTGATAGTATTAATTATTTTTTAGCAAAGGTTGCGTTTCTGTTAATTTATTTTGATTTCTAACTTTGTTATGTAACATAAGTCATAATTTAATAAACATTTCGTAAAATATTTTTTGATTTATTTATAAATAACCTTAGGTGTCCGTAACTCGTGGACTTCCCCCTAAAAAAAAAAAGAAAAAATCTCCGATATAGTAATTGTTCTGCATCATACTTAAAATCTTATAATTTTTGTCGTTTTCTGGCCAGTATAATTTTTGTTGTTTTCTGGTATTTACTAAAATGATCTATTAAATTTTTTGTAAAATACTGCAGTATTTTGCCAACTCATTTTTAGATAGTGAAAAAAAGTTTGCAAATTATTGCTGAAAATTCTCAATAGATCATTTAATTGAAACCCAAAAGTCGTTTAAGGTAAAAAGGGCCAGGAAACGACAGAAAATATTAGATTTTTAGTACAATTCAGCAAAGTTACTAGATCGGAGATTTTTTCGTTTTTTTCATTTTTGCCATTTGACCTCAAATTTTTGTATTCAGGGTGAAAAATTACATTGGCAAACATAAACCACAAACCCAATGTAGACTACATGTAGACGACTTTTTTATAGCAGAATTATGTTTTTTATTTCTAAACTATTATTATACCTAAACAAGGGTCACTGAAAAGTTGATGCAAATTTACTTCTTATTTAAACAGAAAAGTATATTTACATAGTCTTTGATTGATGAGCATGATACATCATAAATGTATAAAAAACGACAATGTTTTATTCTATTTCAACATAACGATATTAATTTAAAAAAATTAAATATTGAACTTTACGTGAAAATTTTATAATTATTATACATTTTTGTGCGTTTGAGTTGTAGCAACCTCATTGTCTGAATTATTAAAGTTCAAATTTTATTACCTT